TGGCAGTGTAGACTCCACTTAGGCAGAAAAAATGAAATGCAAAGATACAGAATGGGGGACGCGTGGCTCGAGAGCAGTACGTGTTAAAAAGATCTTGGAGTCCTTGTGGACAACAAGTTAAACATGAGCGAACAATGTGATGCAGCGGCAAAAAAAGCCAATGGGATTTTGGCCTGCATCAATAGGAGCATAGTGTCTAGAATGATCCAGGGAAGTCATGTTACTCCTCTATTCTGCCTTGGTTAGACCACACCTGGAATATTGTGTCCAATTCTGGGCACCACAATTGAAGAGAGCTATTGACAAGCCGGAATGTGTCCAGAGGAGGGCGACTAAAATGATCAAGGGTCTGGAGAACAAGTCCTATGAGGAGCGGCTTAAAGAGCTGGGCATGTTTAGCCTGAAGAAGAGAAGGCTGAGAGGAGACATGATAGCCATGTATAAATATGTGAGAGGAAGCCACAGGGAGGAGGAAGCAAGCTTGTTTTCTGCTACCCTGGAGACCAGGTGTCAGGACTCGGTTTCCTGGCCTTGGAAGGTGGCGCAAAAAACCGGATTCCTGACATGGAGAACCGATAAGGAATTGCAGCTGGTGGCCTTGGGAAGGGCAGTTAGTGGTTTGGCGGGGAATATTGAGCGGGATCCTGGGTCGGCGGGAAGGGGGGATTCGAATGTGGGGAGGGTATATAAAGGGCTGACGTGCGTCTGTATGCCAATCCTGGCTTTCATTGTGTATATGTATCCAGCAGTAAAAGGTTCCTGATTGATTACGGACTGGTCTCTTGTGTCTTTTCGGGGAACGGCTGTTGTGAGCTTACATTAAGCCAGGATTCACGGTGCCATCCCACGGCTGTGGTGAGGTACCCATATGCAACGAGAGGAAGACCCATTTGTTAGAGTCCTTCTGCGGAGGTTGAGATAGGACAGGATATAAAAGCCCTAAATAAATACATTAATAAGTAAATAAGATGTGGAACAATGGCTTCAAACTACAAGAAAGGAGATTCCATCTGAACATTAGGAAGGACTTCCTGATTGTGAGAGCCGTTCAGCAGTGGAACTCTCTGTGTGGTGGAGGCTCCTTTGGAAGCTTTTAAACAGAGATTGGGTGGCCATCTGTCAGGGGTGCTTTGAATGCAATATTCCTGCTTCTAGGCAGGGGGTTGGACTGGATGACTCATGAGGTCTCTTCCAACTCTATGATTCTACGATTCTATGAAACACAGGACTGGGTTCCTGTCCCTTTAATGGTATCTTAAGATCCTATCTGTTCTTGGAAAATAAGCAGGTTGGGAAAATATCTAAAAAATTAGCGAAGATTTTCTTAGGCCCCTTCTATACTGTCACATAAAATCCATATTACCTGCTTTGAACTGGATTGTATGGCAGCATAGACTCATATAATCCACTTCAAACTAGATAATGTGGATTATCTGAATTGATAATTGGGATTATATGGCAGTGTGGAAGGGGCCTTAATGTCACTGAGGAGGGATGAAATCTTTCAAATTGTTACTCCTGTGTGTAAGAATAAATATTCCTGTATGTAAGAAGACTTATTTATTTTTATTATTTATTTACTATATTTCTATATCGCCTTTCTCAGCCAATCGGCAACTCAAGGCGGTTTGCAACAAAACAGTACACATAATATCATAAAACAAGTTAAAACGTTAAAACAGTATAAAACAATAACAATAATAACAACATCAAGAACTTCCTGACTGTGAGAGCCGTTCAGCAGTGGAACTCTCTGCCCCGGAGTGTGGTGGAGGCTCCTTCTTTGGAAGCTTTTAAACAGGGGCTGGGTGGCCATCTGTCAGGGGTGATTTGAATGCAATATTCCTGCTTCTTGGCAGGGAGTTGGCCCATGATGGTTTCTTCCAACTCTTTGATTCTATGTTTCTATGTTTCTATGATTCTATCATTAGCGTCTCCTTATTATCAAGCATTGTCCAGTTCCATTGTCAAGTCATTCAATTTCCTATGTCGTCTACTTCCATCTTTACTGTTGTCACAAACACTAAAATGAAATGAGGGCTTTAATCTATTGTGACAACGGTAGCTTCAGAAATTTTGAATTCAGAGTAAACAATGCAAAGAACAGTAGATCTTAATTGCTGAAATTAAAAATGAAAGAAGTATAATGAGCAACTCTGGGGCAATTAAGTTGCACATTTATCTGGCGGGCATTTATTTCTGATTAAACAGTATTAATGTGCAGTTTCTATGCATATTTACTGCTGTTATGATATTCCACACAATGAATATGAAACATCTCAGTGAGTTTTGGACAAGAAAGATGTCTTTGTTTTTCAGACGCACTAACAACTGCCTCTTTCTGGTAATATGGTGTTCTCCCCAAAGAAACCCAGGTGACAACTTTGAAGAAAAAAAAAGCATGCTAATCAATTCATCTCTTATTTTACTGCAATGCAGACATTTCAAATAATTCCTTTATTATTGCTTTCAACCTTATGGTTTAAACATTTTAAATTCAAAATGCCTTCAGCAACTAGCTGGTAGTTGTTACATCTTAACTGAATAAGGCCAACACAAAAATCACAAAAGAGGTTTGAACCCTAATTTCTCAGAATACTAAAAAAAAAAATATATAGTCTGCACTGGTTCAGTGTTCACATACATATTGTGTGTTTGTGTTGATTTATTATAACTATGAATTTCATATGGTCTATTTAGGCAATGAACACTCAGGCTGGATCTACACTGTCCTATATCCTAGGATCCGATCTCAGATTATCTAGTTATCTCAGATTATCTGGCAGTGAAGGGGCTGCGGTGGTGCAGCAGGCTAAACCACTGCGCTGTTGAACTTGCTGACCAGATGGTTGCCGGTTCAAATCCACGGGACAGTGAGTTCCCACTGTCTGCCCCAGCTTCTGCCAACTTAGCTGTTCGAAAACATGCAAGATCACTAGGTGTGCTGGCACGGCAATGCCAGGTGATTTTAACCTCTTTTTCTTGAACTGCTAGTTTGCATGAATCTATTTAAAGCATGCATTTTGCAAAAAGGTAGCTTCCCTCATGTTGCAATCATAGGGCCAACAACTTGGCAATCATTATTAGAATCTTTAGACCCACGGGACAGTGAGTTCAAATCCACGGGACAGTGAGTTCCCACTGTTTGCCCCAGCTTCTGCCAACTTAGCTGTTCGAAAACATGCAAGATTACTAGGTGTGCTGGCACGGCAATGCCAGGTGATTGTAACCTCTTTTTCTTGCACTGCTAGTTTGCATGAATCTATTTAAAGCATGCATTTTGCAATAAGGTAGCTTCCCTCAGGTTGCAATCATAGGGCCAACAACTTGGCAATCATTATTAGAATCTTTAGACTCGCCCCTTTTCCCAGGGTTTTGGAGGGAAAGGAGGACTTTGTTCAGTCTCACTGTTTTGGAGCCTAACAGCAGGATATGTGGGTCTCTCCCACCTGCACAAAGACTTCACTTCTCACAGCTTTTGCTGGGGGTTAAAGAAATAGATTCACAGCTCTGCAATATAATTCTACTTCTACTCATAATATTTTTTCTTTGTCATGTCAGGAGTGACTTGAGAAACTGCAAGTTGCTTCTGGTGTGAGAGAATTGGCCGTCTGCAAGGATGTTGCCCAGGGGACGCTCGGATGATTAGATATTTTTATCATCCTTCTAGGAGGCTTCTCTCATGTCCCCGCATGAGGAGCTGGAGTTGATAGAGGGAGCTCATCCGCCTCTCCCTGGATTCAAACCTGCGACCTGTCGGTCTTCAGTCCTGCCGGCACAGGGCTTTAACCCACTGCGCCACCGGGGGCTCCAATAATAATATGATATTATAATTATATATTTATATTACATGTAATATTACTAATAATATTACAATAGAATGGTATAATACAATATATTAATATTTAATACTGAATTGTACTATACTAATGATACAATATATTGTATGTATATATATCTTGTAAGCTGCTTTGAGTCCCCTTTGAGGTGAGAAAGGCGGCATATAAATGTCATAAATAAATAAATAATGTTGAAAGGATGCCTGGCATAGATGTAAGCGAAACGATAGGAGAGATTGCTTCTGGAACATGGCCATACAGTCTGGAAAACTCACAGCAACCCAATTATTATATGTATTTATACTCCGCTTTTTCTCTCCATAAGGAGACTCCAAGCAGCTTACAGTGTCATATTCCTTACAGCAGCAAATGTAATTTCATTACCTTTTGATTCTATCAGATAAAACCTCCTTCAAATGTCGATTGTAATCTTGACCAATACAAATATTCGAGACAATGCACCCACATTTACGAGGGGTATTTTTAAAGTAAGGTCCGTTTTGTTGTAGACACTAGTAGTTCGCGCGCATACCGCAACGAGCGTGTGCGTCGTGTACCGGCATGCCTCGGGAACAACTATGCTCAGTTTCCGCTCTGTAGCTAACCTGTACGGTTCTGTTCTGTGCTTTAAAAATGTTTAGACTATCAACTCACCCTCCGCATGTGAGGTTCGCTCAGTGATACGGTTTTTGTCAGCAAGGAATCTGCCTGCTGCAGAAATTCATCGACAGATTTGTGAAGTGTACGGTGATACCGTTATGAGTGAAAGCAAAGTGCGTAAGTGGGTACAACAATTCAAAGATGGCCGTGACAACGTCCATGATGAGGACCGCTCCGGTCGTCCTTCTTTGATTACAGTGAACTCTTGGTTATCGGAGCAGGCGGCAAGTTTTTATGAAGAGGGTATTTTAAAATTGGTTTAGAGGTATGATAAGCGTTTGAACAAACTTGGCAACTATCTCGAAAAATAGAGTGAAATATGTACTTTCTGAAAATAAATTTACTTTTTTGAAATAAACTTTCGTTGTATACTTATGTTCAAACGGACCTTACTTAAAAAATACCCCTCGTATATTGAAAATATCTTGCATATGTTTTTTTAAAAACTTCCCAAACAGGACTTGTTCCCACTTCCATCATCAATCTAATTGATCTACTTACTTTCATTAAGTCCCGGTGGTGTTCCAGTACACTGCAGGTGGTCTGCCAAGTATCTTGGTAACATTCCCAGGGGTCGACCCTTTGGTGAGAAAGAAATAGGGAAAAAGACATTTGATCACCAGAAACTACATTTGTCGGAGGTGTGTGTCTGTCTATACACGCTCCTTGATCTTTTGTACAGGATTATTTATAACCAGATTTATTGCTGAGTATTTAATAATAAATGTTCCCTACTATAAATGTTTCTGGTAATTAATCTCTGTACCAGAATTCATGCCTTGCTTTTTATTTTATGGCCTTGGCTTCCAATAAATTAACTTTCATGTGCACACCTGTCTGTATCTATCTATACATAGATTCCATCCCTTTTACTTCATGCTAGAACCTGCCAACCACCGATCCAAGAACAGTCACCCTTATTGCCGGCCTACAACAAGGGATGCTATTAATATCTTTAATGTCTTTTCTCTTCCTTCCCACATCTTCTTTTTCCTCTATTTCCCCTTCTCTCCCTTCACATCCCCAAAATGGTGACACTCTTTCTTGCTAGTCTTAGTCTTGCTAGACGACACCAAATTGGGAGGGATAGCCAATACTCCAGAGGACAAGAGCAGAATTCAAAATGATCTTGACAGATTTCAGAGATGGGCCAAAACTAACAAAATGAAGTTCAACAGGGACAAATGCAAGATACTCCACTTTGGCAGAAAAAACGAAATGCAAAGATACAGAATGGGGGTTGCCTGGCTCGTGAGCAGTACGTGTGAAAAAGATCTTGGAGTCCTTGTGGACAACAAGTTAAACATGAGCCAACAATGTGATGTGGCGGCAAAAAAAGCCAATGGGATTTTGGCCTGCATCAACAGGAGCATAGTGTCTAGATCTAGGGAAGTCATGCTACCCCTCTATTCCGCTTTGGTTAGACCACACCTGGAATATTGTGTCCCATTCTGGGCACCACAGTTCAAGAGAGATATTGACAAGCTGGAATGTGTCCAGAGGAGGGCGACTAAAATGATCAAGGGTCTGGAGAACAAGCCCTATGAGGAGCGGCTTAAGGAGCTGGGCATGTTTAGCCTGAAGAAGAGAAGGCTGAGAGGAGATATGATAGCCATGTATAAATATGTTAGAGGAAGCCACAGGGAAGAGGGAGCAAGCATGTTTTCTGCTTCCCTGGAGACTAGGACGCGAAACAATGGCTTCAAAGTACAAGAAAGGAGATTCCATCTGAACATGAGGAAGAACTTCCTGAGTCTGAGAGCCGTTCAGCAGTGGAACTCTCTGCCCCGGAGTGTGGTGGAGGCTCCTTCTTAAACAGAGGCTGGATGGCCACCTGTCAGGGGTGATTTGAATGCAATATTCCTGCTTCTTGGCAGGGGGTTGGACTGGATGGCCCATGAGGTCTCTTCCAACCCTTTGATTCTATGATTCTATGATTCTATACATTCCATTTTCTTTTTCTTTCTCTATTTTGTCTTCTCTTTCTCCCTCCAAAAGATGTTACCTGTCACAGTTAAAATAGTCAGTCTTCTATATCCATTGATTCAGAATCCACAGATTCAACCATCCTTTGGTTTAATTTTTTTAAAAAAAATCCAAAAAACAAACTGTGATTTTGCCATTCCATATAAAGGGAACCATGTTGCAGTGCTATTGAGACTTGAACATTTTGAATTTTTGTATCCAGTGTGTCCCGAAACCAAACCCCAGTGGATGCCAGGGGCCCACTGTAATTGTATCAATAATATAGATAAAAGTATGAAAAGCTGCATAATAAAGCAGGCAGGGATAACAATTTATTTATCGTGTCAGGAGCAAACCAAAAAGTTGTATTGCATTTTTTAACAAACAAAGCACAAAGTTTGCAAGCTTGGTAGCTGATTAAATGTCCTTTGACCAGTATCTGGCCACTTGGAGTGCCTCTGGTGTTGCTGCAAGAAGGTCCTCCATTGTGCATGTAGCAGGGCTCAGGTTGCATTGCAGCAGGTGGTCAGTAGTTTGCTCTTCTCCGCACTCACATCTCGTGGATTCCACTTTGTAGCCCCATTTCTTAAGGTTGGTTCTGCATCTCATGGTGCCAGAGCACAGCCTGTTCAGCGCCTTCCAAGTCTGAGGACTGAGGAGGAGACTTTGAGAACATCTGTCTCCTCGCTGTTGCTTACTACATCTGCCTGCCACCTCAGGAGGAGAAGGAGGAAATCCTGCTGCTTCTCCCCCCCCCCCCCAAGCCAGCTAAGAGGAGAAAGGGGACTGAGAACGAGACTTTAAGAACATCTGTCTCCTGGCTGTTGCTTACTACATCTGCCTGCCACCTCAGGAGGAGAAGGAGGAAATCCTGCTGCTTCCCCCCCCCCCCCCAAGCCAGCTAAGAGGAGAAAGGGGACTGAGGAAGAGACTTTAAAAACACCTGTCTCCTGGCTGTTGCTTACTACATCTGCCTGCCACCTCAGGAGGAGAAGGAGGAAATCCTGCTGCTTCCCCCCCCCCCCCCCCAAGCCACCTAAGAGGAGAAAGGGGACTGAGGAGGAGACTTTGAGAACACCTGTCTCCTGGCTCTTGCTTACTACATCTGCCTGCCACCTCAGGAGGAGAAGGAGGAAATCCTGCTGCTTCTCTCTCCCCCCCCCCCCCCCGCCCCCAGGCCAGCTAAGAGGAGAAAGGGGACTGAGGAGGAGGATCCTGCTGCTTTTCCCCCTCCACCCAAGCCAGCTAAGAGGAGAAAGGGGACTGAGGAGACTTTGAGAACACCTGTCTCCTGGCTGTTGCTTACTACATCTGCCTGCCACCTCAGGAAGAGAAGGAGGAAATCCTGCTGCTTCTCCTCCGCCCCTCCCCCCAAGCCAGCTAAGAGGAGAAAGGGCACTGAGGAGACTTTGAGAACACCTGTCTCCTGGCTCTTGCTTACTACATCTGCCTGCCACCTCAGGAAGAGAAGGAGGAAATCTTGCTGCTTCTCCCGCCCCCCCATGCCACCTAAGAGGAGAAAGGGGACTGAGGAGACTTTGAGAACACCTGTCTCCCGGCTGTTACTTACTACATCTGCCTGCCACCTCAGGAGGAGAAGGAGGACATCCTGTTGCTTCTCCCCCTCCCCCAAAACCAGATAAGAGGAGAAAGGGGACTGAGGAGGAGACTTTAAAAACACCTGTCTCCTGGCTGTTGCTCATTGTTTCTGTTGTGGTTTTACATTGTATTTAATGTTTTTATGTGCATTTTGATATTATGTGTATTGACTTGCTGCCTGTAAACCGCCTTAAGTAACCGAAAGTAGAAGAAAAGAATGTATTGTCTAAAAGAAGATGTTTCATATATTCATACCCGTTGCAAAAATGGAGATTTAAAAAATTAAGTTTTAACAACAACAAATTACCAGAACAAGTGCAATTTATGCCTTCAATTAAATATAATCTTTCCCTGCAAGCATCTTGTTTACCTAACTGTAGAAGTAAAGAAGAATAAGGGATGACCCAAGGCTTGAATTTGCAGCTCTGCCTACCTCTAAGCTGGGCTTGTTATTCAATTGTGTAAACAAAATGACTCCTATTAACACATTTTATTCATTTACGGGAAACAAGTAGATGAGCAAAACTGACAGTCAGTCGGAGTGTCTCTGTGGGTGGCTATGATGCAAACAGGATTCCTACCAACAATATGTCAGTCGAAGGAAGTATAAAGCATAGAATGAAATGACAGCACACAAAGGGGTATTCTAGTTATTAATATTAATAATAACAGATCTGGCTCCAACTGATGCATGCAGATACAAGCAAAGCAAGGAGTTTTCCTTCTGCAACATTAAGAAAGCCTCACTAAGTGGTAAGCAGGAAGATATTTTCATCTGTTGAAAAACAGATACATGAGCTTTCCCTTGCTACAGATGGAAGACCTCTCAACACTGTGAAATGAATTATTATTTATTGTTTATTTCAAATATTTCTACCCTGCCTTTCTCAACCCCCGGGAGGTGGGGGGCGGACGGGACTCAGGACAGCTTCCAGTCGGCACTATTCAATGCCTCCAAGTGTACATAATAAAATCCATATAAATAAAAATGTATTGTTTGTTTGTGGGATTAAAAGAACTCAAAAACCACTGGACAAATTGACACCAAATTTGGACACAAGACACCTAACAATCCAATGTATGTCCTTCACTCAAAAAAATTGATTTTGTCATTTGGGAGTTGTAGTTGTTGGGATTTATAGTTCACCTACAATCAGAGAGCATTCTGAACCCCACCAACAATGGCATTGAACCAAACTTGGCACACAGTTCTCCCATGATCAAGAGAAAATACTGGAAGGGTTTGGTGGCAGTGTCTTTTGGTTTTGGAGTTGTAGTTCACCTACATCCAGAGATCCCTGTGGACTCAAACAATGATGGATCAGGACCAAACTCTACACGAATACTCAATATGCCCAAATGTGAACACTGGTGGAGTTTGGGGGAAATAGAATCTTGACATTCGGGAGTTGTAGTTGCTGGGATTTACAGTTCACCTACAATCAAAGAGCATTCTGAACCCCACCAATGAGAGAATTTGAACAAACTTACCACACAGAACCCCCATGATCAACAGAAAATACTTAAGGCCATCCAGTCCAACTCCCTTCACCAGGGCAAAAAAAATGTAATCAAAGCCCTCCTGACAAAGAGCCATCCAGCCATAGATATAATTCTCTCTCTCTTTCTCACACACACACACAGTATCACAGATTTGAAAGGGACCCCTAAAGAAGGACAGTTATGTTGTATGTTCCATAAATACTGTTTACCCACAAGAATAAAGAAATTACATATATTAGAAACCAACACTTTCTCATTACTTTATTTTCCAGATCACCAGACTGGGCCACAGCAACGCATGGCAGGGGACAGCTAGTCTATATAAATAAAAATGTAATGTTTGTTTGTGGGATTAACAGAACTCAAAAACCACTGGACAAATTGACACCAAATTTGGACACAAGACACCTAACAACCCAATGTATGTCCACTCAAAAATTGATTTTGTCATTTGGGAGTTGTAGTTGCTGGGATTTATACAATCAAAGAGCAATCTGAACCCCACCAACGATG